ATCACATATTGCTTCAAATTAGGTGTGTTGGAGCAGAGAAACAAGTAAAACATGCAGGGCTGCGGCCCTCCAGGACCAGGATTGCTCACCCTTGAACCAGGCTTTAGTGTTACAAAGTACTTTGGATACTTTGCATGATTTTAAAGGATTTTTTATGTGTGCCAGATTTACAGATTTATGTGGTAGCTCACTGAGCTATGACTGTTGGAGACTAGTTCTCAAACAGCCATGGGCGTAATTTGCAGGGGGGTTAGGGGGTTATGACCACCATAACAATTTCATCCAGTCACATCCCCCCCACCCCCCAATAAAATTACATCATTTGCTGTAAAACAATAGAAATTAACTGGTTAAGTACACTGCTGCAACTCTCTTGGTGTCTTTCGATAACTTACGATGTCTTAAGCATAACTGCAGAAAATCACACACAGAGTTTGTCTGCTCTTGTCACATTATGGCTTCAGGTGTTGAATCATGCGTTGTAATTTTTCATAGACAAATTGTAATGCACCAGGTAAATACCTACTTTTTGAAAATGGATAAATGTACTGTAGGTGCTGTATAATACATCATAAAAATGTAAAATATTCATTGCTGTAAGCATTTTCTTAATTGTTGAACTGACATGGAACAGAAAAAGTGCAGAGTAAATACAAAAAAAAAAACAAACAGGAAAGTTAGGTCAAATTATTGGCATTTTAACCCCAAAATATCCGATGAATAAGTGAATAGTCAGAAACCATACCCATCACCCCCCGTAAACCTAAAGTTAGTCCCTTGCAAACAGCATTTTAGAGGCTCAAAATGATCATTACAGCAAAGTGACTTTATCAAACACCAAAATGGTTTAAACTCAGCCAGTGTTATGTGTGCTGAGCTAAAACATGGAGTGGTAGTAGCTGAGAGTCATCATCATTACTCTGAATGCTAGCAGATTGTCTCTAACTCTGTTCCTTTTCAGCATGAGATGATCTTAGTCCAAAACACTGATATGAAAAGTAAAGAGGGATATGCATTACTGAATGTTTACATGCATTCACCCAAAATTTGGTGCGTCAGAAAACTCCTTATAAAGCACGTAAATATGATGGCTAATGCTGATATTAGCACTTGGATGCAACCTGCAAATCCATGCATTAAAGCTAAGAAGTACAGAACTTCCTTCCTGCAAAACAAAACCCAAATTGAAAAGGCTTTAAATGTTTTTTATTCAGTGCAAGTTTCCTCTAAAAGAAGCTCCCACAGATTTTTGCCTCTACTTCAAACTCGGAGAGGGCTTCTCTCGAGACCAAACATCCTTTTTTCAACAACGTTAGGTGCTATGTAATTGTGGATGGGGGTCTAATGTGTGGTCCATTTGCTTCATTAATGGGGCAGACGCTAGTTGTTCAGCCAAGAAAATGCCTATTGTTCCTTTTACCTTTGTGTTTTTTTAATGTGCAGCATTAGTCGGGGCAGTTGTTAGTGCTGGACCGTAGTGCTTTGATGACGGTCAAATGACAAAGTCTTTATAGAATATGGTGGGATAGGCAGGACAAAGGTGGGCAATGTTCAGCTGGATGCAGCCAATTTCTGTGTGAGAGGCCTGCCTAAAAACCCTATTCATAGGCCGTCTGATGCTGGTGCGTAATTAAATGTGATTACTGGAGCAGAGGGCTTCACTCTGCCTCTCTGAGGGCCACACACAGGACTGGAGGGAACGTGCATGTGCTCATTAAGGAGGCGCTAACAGATGTACACAAGCAACAACCACAGGCGTGCCCAAAAATCAGACCTTCACCTTCCCCCCACCCAACCCATACACAGAGAAGTAAAAAATTACGTCTGCCTGATATTTTTTTTTTAGGCGCTAAGAAAAGCAGGAGGTTCTTTTATTTTATGTTTTTATTATCATTAGCCTTCAGCATCTACAATTATTCTTTAGTTAAATGAGTTACAACAACACTGAATTTCCCTCTGGGATCAATAAAGCATTTTTGAATTGAATTTGAATTTGAATTATTATTTCTAAGATTGAGGATGGTTTATGATTCATGATTTATTTTGAGTTTTGACGTTTTATGGCCCAGACTTCACCCAAGAAACAGAAATCAGAGTAAATCTTTAGCATAGTGATAATAAAGAAGCAAAAACATAAAGAGAAACTCAATTATTGTTCCCATCCTCACACACCTTGTCTCTCCGGACACAGACACAGTCCACCCCCTGGTGCTCATGGGAAATCCCGAGCACGCCAAGGCCCCACAAAGGCGTCCTTTCAGTCGCCCGCATGCTTGACCTGTGCGGGGTCAGTGCTCTGCTTTGTGCCCCGTGACCCCCGGGTGACCCGGGTGACCCGGGGTCATGCTAAGAGCCCCAGGTCGAATCTAGATGCCTGCGTCTAATTTCACCCCGACTGGGTTATCCGTCCAAATCTGCCCTAAAATTTACCCCCCCAACCCCTCTGCAGTCCCTAAAAC